TTTTGGTACAGGGACCTTCCGGTTTCCGGATCCACAGGGGAACCGACTAATCCGAAATCGAACCGGGTAGGACCACAAGGGCGGCAAAGCTCTCCCTCAAGAGTTTTATTATATTTTATTTTATTTTTTGGGCAAAAACTGAGAATGAAAGTATTAAACCAAATTAATGTGGTCTATTTGATTATTCTGAATGTTTGTTTTGTACGTAATCCTGACAGTGCTGCTATATATATAAACACATAGCTAGTTGGCTATGTATTTATTTCAATCTCCTGCCTTTTCTTATTTTAAACAGATGTATGAATTAATAACAGAAACATTATAATTAGATTAGTGCTAAAATATTTTATGCAGCGAGATTTCTTTCATACGTTTTCATCACCAGCAGTAATACTTGTGTTAAGTAGTCTAACTATTAGACGGATCGACTCGTTATACTTTAATAAGCAAAATATATCCTTATGTAATCAGGTGCCACATTCCTTTGTACGATATTTTTTTTGAAAGTATGATGAAATATGCATATTTGTGGGCAAAATTACAAAACTGATACACTAAATTGGTCGTTGTCAATAAAAGAGACACTATGTTGTCACTCATGGAAAAGATAATCTTAGTTGGCTTTTTGCACGAAAAAGATACATATTTACAAAAATGATACACTAAGTGTATCACTTATGTCTGACTTTAGATTGCTTATGTCTGACTTAGTGTATCATTTTTGTAAATATGTATTTTTTTCGTGCAAAAAGCCAACTAAGAGTATATTTTCCATGAGTGACAACATAGTGTCTCTTTTGTTGACAACGACTAACTTAATGTATCATTTTTTTAATTTTGCCCATATTTGTGAGAATAATATGTCAGATTAATGGTTAGACACACTAAACACAAGATTGAAATATGTTACTTTATAAAACAACGAAAAAGTATAACACTTTATAGTATTTTTTTTTTTAATCTACTGGGAGGTATCCCCACGTTAGTGTTTCTTCGCCACTTACTGTCAGCCCGCCAATCTTAGCAAAAGCTCTCACGGCCTAGGGATATCCACAGCCGGGGGGTGGGACTAATCCTCCCAGGCAGATGGCCAGCCCCAATACCATCTACCGGCTTCCAAGTTCGACCCCGAGACCTCATTGCAAGCATGAGTTTAAGAATGCCTGCTCCGTCACTGTGCCAAGGAGGGCATAACATTTTATAGTATAAATATATAAATTTTATTAAAAGGGTGTGACGCTTTATTAAAAAATTAGATCACCTGACACAAAAATTTATAAAACAACAAAAAAATATAGCACTTTATAGTATAAATAAATATGTAAATTTTATTAAAAAGGGTGTGACGCTTTATTGAAAAGTTAGATCACCTCACACAAGAATTTTATGCGACTATCATGAAAATTGTAATGGTACACTAGTTTCCAAGTTTTTTGTGCTGACTGATAAATGATAATACTATACTTAACAAAGATAATAAAGAAAAAGAACAGAAAATGTATGTTTATGATTATATTACAGATAAAATAGTTAATATAAGATGAAAGTATAACAATATTCAGTATAATAAAATGAAAAAAAAGGTGTAGTTTTTTTTTTTTTTTTTGAAGTACTAATAATATGACATGACACAAAACTTTATGCTCTGACCCAAAAACTGCAGCATCACAGTCCTCTTATAAAGAGAGAGAGAGAGAGAGAGAGAGAGAGAGAGAGAGAGAGAGAGAGAGAGAGAGAGAGAGAGAGAGAGAGAGCTGTCAACCTAATTGTTCTTACCTTTTCATTTTTGTAATTTATATAATAATTCATTTGGATAAGAAGGATCTACTCAAAATATTTTGAATAAAATTAGTTACTGCATAAAAATTCTTGCTCTTAAGAGGGTCTCTAAAACCAGAGCTGCTGCTAGTGCTTCCATTGGAGCAGTTCCAAAAATTACACAGAGCTGTCTCCTCTCTGGCTCTGTTTTTCATTTTTTTTACACTTTTTTTCTGCAGATTTTTTCTTGTTTCAGCAAACACACACACACAGAGTTCAGCGTACTCAAAAACATCTGTGAACACGGAATGAGTTAGGCTTATTACAATTTACAAACAAGAAAAAAGGAAGGAAAAAAAAACTGTTCTTTTTATCTGTCAAAGCTCAAAGGAAATGGAGAAAAAGAGAATTGTGTGATTATGAATGGCAGCATCTTTTGGTGGCGGCAGAGTCTACAGAAAAGCCATAGCCGGTAAGAAAAATAAAAAAAGCTTTGAAAAAAACATCAAAAGCTGGACCAAGAAAAGCTCAACAACAAGGGTCTTGTGAGCCTGGACAATTTTCACAAACACCTCGTCTATGAGAAACAGGAACAAGAAGAAGAAGAAGAAGAAGAAGAAGAAGAATTTTCCCGGCGAATCCAGTTGCTTTACGGGAACCCAGGCGCCGACCCCATTCAGCTGCCGCAACCGCCGCCGCCGGCGCTGCCCAGGAAGCGGCCGTGCTTCTCTCCCGCTTTACCTCTGGAGCCCGCCGCCGGACATGCGATGCCCCGCCCGAGAAGCGCCGGCGGCGAGGTCGTGGAGGTGCAGGGCGGCGGCCACATCATACGGTCGACGGGGCGGAAGGACCGGCACAGCAAGGTCTGCACGGCCAAGGGCCCACGCGACCGCCGGGTCCGCCTGGCGGCCCACACCGCCATACAGTTCTACGACGTCCAGGACCGGCTGGGCTACGACCGGCCGAGCAAGGCCGTGGACTGGCTCATCAAGAAGGCCAAGGCCGCCATCGACGAGCTGGCCCAGCTCCCGGCCTGGCAGCCCACCGCCGGTTCGGGCCCCAACCCGAGCCCGAATTTCGAGCAAGAGGAGCAAAACGAGGACCAGCAGCAGCGTGACGGCTTAAATCCTGATTTAGTGGTTACAAATAACGAAAACCAGAGCTTTCTGCCGCCGTCTCTGGACTCCGACGCCATAGCCGACACCATAAAGTCCTTTTTCCCGGTGGGGGCTCAGGCGGAAACGAGCTCCTCGGCCATGGAGTTTCAAAGCTTCCAATCTCCCGATTTTCTCTCGAGAAACAGCCACAATCGCACTAATACCCAGGATTTAAGGCTTTCGCTGCAGTCATTGCAAGATCCAGTCTTGCTCCACCACCATAGCCACCACAGCGCCGCCGCTCCCCTAGGGTTTGACGGCTGGACAGAGAGCCGCCAGCCCCAGGCAATCGAGCTCGGCCGTCTCCAGAGACTCCCGGCCTGGAATCTCCCCGGCGAGAGCACCGGCGGATCAACGGCTGGGGGATACCACCTGCTCAATTTTCCGGCGCCGGCGCTGCAGCATCATTTTGACCAAAGCCAAGTTTTTTCACAGAGGGGACCCCTTCAGTCCAGTAACTCACCGGCAGTTCGTGCTTGGATGGACCCACCATCCGCTGGACAACTCGACCCGAGCCAGCCCCACTTTTACCAGCAATATCCATCCGGTTTTCCTATCTATCAGTCTCCGGCTACTGCCGGCGGATTTTCCGGGTTTCGAGTCCCAGCACGAATTCAGGGTGACCATGAGGAGCACCATGGCTACGCCCAGAAGCCATCGTCTGCTTCCTCTGATTCTCGCCGTTAAACTCAGCTCACAAATTCGAACTTTCACCGTTTTATTCAATTTACAGGTTCTTTTCCGATTTCCCCATCTTGAATTGTGGTTTTCTTTTTATGTTCCCGGGCACATATCTCAAAGGCTTAACAAATTTTATTCAGGAGAAAACCAAGAAGTGAAGAAAGTTTGAGTCTTTACCGAATGCAGCCGCGAAGATTTCTGAAATTTAGTTTGAGATTTTCTATTTCAATTTTCGGTTTTCCTGCTCCATGTTATGTATTCGTTGTTTCGTTCATTGTGTGTTCCATGCTTGGAAAAGAACAAATTGTTGCTCGACTTTGTTTTTCAAGCCATTTGGATTGCTATTCGCCATAGCTATATTTGTGTTGCTATATATCATTTTGATCAATCAAATCTTGGTTTTTTTTTTTTGTTTCATGTGAAATGAATGTTTTTTGGATATTCTCAGCATAGGCAAATTGGCACATATAGCTGTAGCTGATACTGATTTAAGCTGTTTATTTCACACAAAGAGGAACAATTGCATTTGTTTCCTCCTAATAGAAATGGACAATTATTCATGTGGGATGGAAAAAAGATACCCCTTTGAATTGACATTAAATTAGGTTTTGTTAGCTTTTACTGCCTTCATAATTCATCACATCCCCTTGAGGCCTACAAAAGGAAATTGAGTAATGTGACCACTCGTTTGCATTATCGTTGGTTGTGTTCAAGGAAGCATTCGGATAAAGGTCGATTTCGAGGGCCAGGTTGATGTTAATTTGAGTGTAGATCATTTGTTTTTTCTCCTTTTCATTTTTGACATGTAGAGCTCATAGGTTGATTGCTATACTTGTGCATTCGATCAAGTGTCTTTTACTGTTATCTTTTGATGTATAGTTTTATTGCATCTTGATTCATCTTGACAGATGATGAATTTTTGTAGCTGGGCTTGCTTGAAAGCCATAGTTGTAATTGGCTTGAGCTATGGAGGAATTTAGGATCTTTTATTCCTTAACTGACAACTCGAAAGCTCTAAATCCACTTAAAAGCCATGCGAACAAGACCACCGATACATGATTTTACATTAGACGGTCGACAAGTTAGTGTAGTATGTATAGTGGTTTAGTCTTGCGGTTTGAGAAATTGAGATTCTATGGTGGTTAGAGCTATTAAATTAAACGAGATGCTTGTGAGATCAGCTCATTTGATAAACGAGCCAAGTATGAGCTCAGTTAAAGCTCGTTCAGTTAACAAGCTGAGCTCGACTAGGCTCGGAAAGATGATTTTATGTATTTTTCTATAGTTTGGCAGATTTTAGCTCGATTTGGAGCTCGAGCTCGGTTATAAGCTCGTTAAGTTAACGAGCCGAGCGATATGGTGGTTTACAAAAGATTTTAAGTGTAGTTAGACGACACTAACAGTTGGATTAAGCATAATGTTTCGACAATTACTACGCATACTTTGTAATTAAAATGTTAATTACACTTTCTAATATAACAATCAACATAAAACAAAAACACAATATTTCATAGTGTAAATATGCATTTCTATCAGAAAATTAGGACGAGTCGGTCCGTCTAACGATTATACTGTCTCATACAAACAAATGTAAGCCATTGAGTGAAAATAATGTGATCATTTCACATGCCTTCACATGCCTTATATTAATAAATTAATCAACTTGGCATGAAATCCTACACGTGAAGATGAATTGTTGCCAATGCATGTGAAATTATAGAGATCCATACCAACTTGGCCATATGCTTCAGCATCTACTCGCTCAAAATTTCTCCTATAAATAGCTGATCGGAAGAAGAAGTAAGAGGCACCAAACAGAAGAGAAAAAGAGAAGAAAGAAGAGAAAGAGAAAGGAAAAACATATAGATTTATGTCTAAATATCGGATATAAAAATATCAAAAGAGAGGAAACAAGTGATATTTTTATTTGTTTCACAATATTCTTTTTATTTCTTAGTGCTCAATTCTCGACTCCGTTCCCGTTCGCCGGAGCTCGTAAATCTGGTGTGCTACAGATTTAGAGACGTTTGCCGTTGTATCTTTGGGGAAGTTACGCCTGAACCGTTAGCTGACACACGGGGCGTATTCTTCTTGCGGAAAGAGTTTTACTCGCCTCGGCTAAAATCTTTCCGTTTTTCAGTTGTAATTTATTTTTCAGTTCAATTGTAATTTTTCTATTTTTAGATTATTTGTAAGAACTGAAATTACATATCAGTTCGTAGGATTCCCGTGTAATTTTTACACCAAATATCCAACAACAAATTAATAGAAGTATGAAAGAGCTTAGCCAAGTAAACAAGAACCAATCAATTAAAATTAAAGTATAAAAAAAAAAAAAAGGTGTTCAATGGGTACCACACCTAAATGTTGTACTCATAATCCATCAATTTCACGGTCCCCTACCCTACCACCTGCAAATCTCAGTGACTCATAATAATAATAATAAGAGCAAAAATCTGTGGAAAATAAGTTTACCCATCACGCAGGAAAAGAGAGAAGCAAGCAACAAATTAAGTTTTGGCTTATGTAGAGATGTTGACAATTGCTTGCTGGTGGTTTGTACTTTCTTTATTGCTGCTGATGAGTACTACTCAAATTTTTGACACAGTATTTTTGTGATTCTGTTACAGTTTTACCAACTCATTTAATATAGAAATTTCAAATATATTCGTAAAATAATTTTTTATTTTTTTTTTTTTTTTGGATGAGGATTCATAATCAATGACTAGTCTATTCATCGTACATTTTTTCTTTAACGAAAATGCATATTTATGTTTTCATATGCATTTTTTTTTTATTTGAAAGTATTGGGGATGTAAATGGGTCGGGTAAGGTATGAGTTTTGGCAAACCCGAACCCGACCCACATATAATTTACCCTACCCAAACTCATGGGAAATGCTATGGTCCAACACATGTAGTTAGTATAAGATAGATGATCTAACGGTTAAAATATCTGACTGGATGGTACCGTAACGGGATCTTACCATTTCCCCTAAAAACACATAGCAAAAGTAGGTGTAGCTAGCCCATAGTTGCAGTGTTTTGAGTTCAGTGATTTGATTCCTATTGTCCCTCGTAGACCAGCTTTATTATTAAAGACAAATTTACTGCAAGAAATATGAAAAACAAAAAAATATATATATATAAGCCAAAGGGTCATAAATAATAACGGTATGTGGTGAAAATATATGTTCGTTCGCTTTCCATTTTTTTTTTTTTTTT